GAGTAGGGATTGGCCAGATTGAGAAAAAACGCCCCTGACACTTTCTTGGCCCACTCGTTAATGACGGGCACTTTCACCGCCACATACGTGGCCGCCTCGCACACAGCCCTATAGCGGCACTCGGCCTCCGGTATATTCATATAGTTGGCCGCCCTCTCAGCCAAACCCGAGACACCATTTTGGATGAAATCGTAGTCAAAGTCGAGCGCCGGTGGGTTCAGACTGCGGCCCAAACCGCTCTTCACGCCAAACACCGACGGAAACAGGAGTGCCATCACATATATGGCCATAGAGTATACGGCGCCCAACTTGAGCACAGTTAACGGCTGGATAGCAGTCACCAATTGGGACAAAGGGTTGAATATCAATGGCATCATTCGGCCCCTAGTGTTGTACACCACCGCCAGTCCCTTGTCTTCAGCGGCAGACATCATGGCCTCGATGTTGGCGCCCATTGGCTGTCCGATAGTGTCTTCAGCGGCGATGACAGGCGAACTCACTTGCGATACAATGGCTGGTATTGAAAGAGTGGTTAAACCAATGATAATCGTGAGCTTTAAGTATGAAAACATGATAATTATTATAAGAGTTTTGATTTTTATATTAAAATGTGTTTAAAATTTCAATTATAAAGACTTAATAAAATATTTCAAATATAAAATAGTGTAACGTTTGCCACTTGAATGACTGAATAAAAGTGAGAGCATTATGGCTATACTCGTGGTCCTTTTATATGCAATTTAAGTGCTTGTAATATCCAGAGTAATGGAAATTTTGTAAAATTTTTATAGTAAATAATGAGTTTATTTTATAATTGAATGTATTTTGCAGCCAATCTCTGTGTTAATCATGAAATGACAACACTTTTCTCATCAATGACTGTTTACTGGAGTCCAGAATAATTATAAACATGTGTTTTTGATATGTCAATGAGATTTGATATTTTATTATAAAATATTTTAAACTATTGCTTTGTATGTAAAACAGTGTTCTTTATGTTTATCATTAAAATATTTTTCCTTATATTAATAAAAGTTATTTTTCTATTGTATTAATTATTATAAATGATATTTTATTATAAAATATTTTAAACTATTGCTTTGTATGTAAAACAGTGTTCTTTATGTTTATCATTAAAATATTTTTCCTTATATTAATAAAAGTTATTTTTCTATTGTATTAATTATTATAAATATTATATTTTCTTTTCCTATTCATGTGAATTGCATTAATGCTAGACATGAGTCCAGAAATAGAGATTAAGACATAGTTTTAAAGAATATTCCGATTTTGACTTTGAATTAATGCTAACAAAGAGTTAATTTTGAACACATCTCTCAATTTGAAAACAGTTTTTTAGTTGTGATTTAAAATAATATTTTTCATATTTTTCTCATATTATTTGTTTAAACATTACTTTCATTTTAATCATTGGTTTATTTATTAATGTTTCAATCATTTAATTGGTTATTGAAAACAATGTTTAATATAATTTTGTTTTAATTGATTGGATTTCCATTTGAGTTTTTGTATCAAATATACATACAGTAGTTATAAATTGTGTGAAATGTAAGTATTATTTGAATGACAAGTGATTTACTATTGAATGCATTACTTATTCATTGCAAGTCTATTCATTTTGTCACCACATTAGGGATCAGTTATTAATGTCTGCCGTTAATGACTGTATGGACGCTATGTTAACGATATGTGAAACAGAAATGAGACAATCAATGGACAGATTCGGCGACGATTTGTGTCAACTATTATTGTCTTATCTGTCACTCGAAGAGCGGTTCCGATACGAAGAGGTGTCCAAACAGTGGCAGAGAGTTATATATGAGACACAAACAGAGATCTCATTCGGAATCGCTTCAAAAATAAGTAACAAAACATTTGTATTAATATTAAAAAAGTGTAAAAATATCACAACTATTGAAGACATTTCATCGAAAACTAATTTAAAGGCAATTATGAAATACTGCCATAAATTGCATTCAATTAGTTGTGTTTCATATAAATGGGGCGAAGATATGAAAATAGTTAAGAAATTTATGATAAAAAGTAAATATTTGACATTCATTCAAATAAATTACTATTTGGAAAATTACACATTTAATGAACTCAAATATTGCACAAATTTACATCAATTTATTATTTCTGATTCGTTGTCTGTATTGAGTAGTAATGAAAATGAGATATTGTTTAATAAATTACAAAAATTCTGCTTTGAATTTAATGAACAAAATGGGCTAAAGTTTGAGGCTTTTGCGCAAAAATATAGTAAAACATTGAAAGCAATTGATATTACAATTATAGCAAAGGTAACAAATATTTCAATACTAATCAATGGTTTGTCACAACTGTTGAAATTGGTTGATCTTAAGATGTCATTGTATGAAGACTTAGTATCTGCGGATCATTTGAAACAATTGAGTATTAATTGCCCGAAACTCAAGAGACTATCACTTCATTTGACATACGAATCAAATGATAATTTTTGTGGAATTATTTATACAATTAATGATAAATCTAAACATTTTAAACGTCTGGAGATTAGCGGAAAAATAGCTAAATCTTATATTTTGATCACTGAATTGTCCAATAATTGTAAACAATTAACACATTTAACGATTTATTCACACGAAAAATATTATATAAACGACCGATTTTTTTGCAAATATTGCCAATAATTTCCCAAAACTTCGACATTTGTCCATTAATTGTAAAAAAATCACATCAAATATATTGAATTCATTGTCATTATTGCTTAACATACAGACCATTAGACTCGATGGGGATGTGATGTCCGCACAAATTCCTATCATTTGGAAATCTCCAAAATTTATTGGCATTCATATTAAATGTAACGAAGCATTGATTTCTACAAATCTATAACAAGATTAACGCCATTTTGTTCAATATTATGTATACAGAAATCTCATTTACAAAATTTCTTTACAAAATTGTGTACAAATGTGCAAAAATTGAATATTTTTTGATTCATTGTTTGAAGTGAGTTGTAATGGAAATGAGTGTTTGTTAAAGAAGTTACAAAAAGTTAGGTTTGGTTTTTTAAATGATATTTTTCCAGCTTTTTGTCACAACTATAGTCAGACTTTGAAATCATTTTTGGTGATGATTGACGTGTTCTGCTCTAATAAATCAATGGATAAATTAATGTAGTGTTTGTCACAAATGATACAATTAATTGATCTCAACATTAATAACGATTCATTGACGGACAGTAAACTGACGGACCATTAAAAACAATTGTCTATTAATTGTCCGAAACTAAAACGATTATATTTTTCACACCAACCTTTCATTCAAATGAGACTTTGAGTTAATTAATACATACAATC